GATGTGTTCTGGTTTAGGTAGCTCAATGTTTTCGGACATATAGCTTTTACTAGACTTAACTGTTGGTGATGATAACAGATCACTCGAAATATTTCTTGAATACACGGTGAAGTAAAAATCTAGACATTTAGAAAAGAAACAATTGGTTTTAATACACTGGCAATGATTTTTTATGTACAAAATGTCAACTCACACGAGCCAGATGCAACTGACATATCGGTCTGATTCGTTCGATTTTCCGGAGTTGTTGAAACTTCTATGGTGGCAAAGGTATTATCCTGTAGCCAAGCAACCGCTATCCGATTTTCGTTTCTTAGTGATAACCAAAGTACATGAAAATATTCGTTGTAATTCTGAAAATCATTCTTGTCTAATGAGTATACGAAACTTCAAGCATAATAAAATGCGAAGAAGAAATATACCAGATCAATACCTCTTTAATGTCATTACGGTCATCGTCCAGAAATATCCAGAAACGGTAACGCGAAGGTTCACCTCGAAAAGAATTTTTTGACACAAATTCCACAATAGAAATAACTTTCACCAATTCCTGAACTGAATATCAACATCAATCTTATTTAATAATAGCATATGTAAATAAGCGTTTACATCCACTCATAAGATAACAAGAGGGCGAACCATCTTCCCCGTCAATGGTATGAATGGTTGGATATATCACAACAGGCAAAAATATTTGTCCACACAACAGAGTACTCTTGTATGGCAAAACTTGAAATTTAATAACATTGAGTTATGGAAGAATAGATGTAAACACAACATGTCTGTAAACTATTAAGGATACAATATTTTTCAGCAATCGAATCCATGGTATTTATAATTTTATCTTTAGTTTGAGGATACGATATAAAACAGAATGCACCCTCATTCTCAAAAGCCATGTTGCCTTTAGGATGGTTCTTGGTTATCTTGAAAGGCAAACGTCTATTAAGCAGATTTCTATACTCTTGCAACATCCTATTGGTTTCTTTTGAATCTTCATCCTTATTAACTTCGTTAGCCATACAAATAATGTGAGTTCGCCAAAGAGGGTTTTTAAATTTAAAGGAGCGATGCCCTATATTCAAATAAAAATGTTAATCATAAATGAGAATATAACGAATATTAGAATAATGAAGTTGGATTTTGCACCTTGTGGTGATCGTTCATCAGTTATCATGATGACCTGACAGGCCTGGTTCAACCCGAATTTTTCGATGACATGTCTTTCGGCAAAATTAAAAGCATTTTCCAGGTTTCTATCAGAATCTCCAGGTTTGATTTCCCATCTAAGTTATAAAATTGATGTGTGGTTAAGATGAGTATCGACAAGAATCAAAAATTTTGGTAGGATCTTTAAGGTACACACTTATCAAAAGCATACGGTAAAAGGTCCTGATACTTGGTAAACTCCAATAAAATGTTGCAATGCGATGCAAACGCAATACACGCAACAGTCTGCCAGTGACAACGGCGAAAAAAATATTCTATTCCTGATAAGTAAAAAAAACGCGTTTCAAAAGATCGTTATAATGGGACAACGATAAACAGAGTAATCTTATAACACAATAAACCTGCTTTTGCACAACTACATTTCGTATCAAGCTGGTTTGCAGGAGAAAGCATTGAATTGGACACATCCAAGAGAAAGATCACCACCTCAGGGATAGTCATTTTTTTCTACAAGTCCCCGGGTCCCGAGATTCATTTACATATGATTAAACGCAGGTCACGAGATTAAATAAGTACAGTCTGATCCAAAAAAAATTATAATTACGTAAATATAATTTTAATATTCATCTTTCTAGATTTCAAATATATGAAATAATTTTTTTATTCTTTACTATATATAATAAAAATAAATGAATAAAATAAATAAATTATTATAACTTGTAAATCAATAACATATAAATAATACTTTTAGATTTCTTTTTTTTTAAGTAGATAAATATTGTAGCTTTATTATAATTATGAAATTTAAAAAATTATTATATGAAAAAAGTAACAATATCTCTCATGTGATCAATTAATCAGTGAGTTTAATGCTAGCTTGCCTATGATAAACTATCTAAGTATAAAGAAAAATAAATATTAAAACCAATACATATTATAGCCAGTGTCAAGTAGCTATAAATATTTACTTAGATTTATATAGGATAAGACTTAAGAAAAAAAAAAAAAAGAAAAAAAAAAATACTAGATAGAAAAAAAATGACAAAAAAACTAATTATAATACAAATGATATATAATGTTACTCTGATAGTTCCACTTCTCTAAAATCTAATGGTACTTTTTGAAATAGTTATATAATAGTTCAAGATATATAATAATATTAATATTTTGTAATAATAATATGTTGTTGTTTTTTAAAATTGATGTTTTTATTAATAATATAATTTTGTTTTGATAGTTGTTATTGAAAATAGTTTTGTTTATATTGATCAATATGTAATGTTTTAGTAGTATAGATTTGTTTGAATAATTGATAATGTTTTATTGATTGATTTTAAAATATTGATTAATTGATAAAAATAAACTAATTATGATTTTTTTGTAAAAATTTTTGTGTTTTTTTGTAGTGTAACAAAGTATACTAAATAATAGTAAAAATAAATAATAAATATATTGTTAGTTTTTCAAGTTAACAATATAAACAATTTTAATATATGGTTTGGTTTTTTGATTTATAAAAATCTTTAAGAAAAGAGTATAGTTATTTAATAAGAAATATATATCAGTAAGAAATGAAAATGGAAAGAATTTCAAGAAAAATTTATAAAAAAATAATTGCTATAAGTCTTTTCTCATATAATTCAAAAAAGAAACAAGAATTTCAAACTTGCTTTTCTTTGGTCAAAGGTCTTATTTCAATATATTAGTATATTTCTTTAATTTCTTTAAGGCTTTTGTAATAAAAATAAAGAATATTTAAAGAATTTTAGAATATTAAAAAGTAAAAAAATATTGTATATGGAAAAGAATTTTTTTTTAATACTTTCAGATTTTTAAATTAAAGATGGGTTCCTAAATTAAAGATAAGGACATAATTCAAATGTCCCTTACTATTAAAAAAGTCTTTTTTTTAAATATAAGATTAAAAAAAATCATATATAAAATTTTTTTGCTGCTCTTCAAATAGACCACGCCTGGATTGCGAACCCACCTTCGGGGTGTTAGTTGGTAGCCAGGTTAGAATTAGAGGCGGTGCT